GCACAAGGGGGAGCGGTATTTTCTTACAATTGTGGATGACTGGAGCAGGCTGATGTGGGCGTATCCGCTGAAGCAGAAGGACCACGCCGCCTCCACGATACGGGACGATTGGCTGCCATTCGTGGAGAAGCAGGCGGAGTGTGTAGTGAAGCGGATTAGGACAGACCGGGGTGGTGAGTTCCTTGGAGCTGAAATGACGGCCTGGCTCAAGAAGCAGGGCATCCAGAGAGAGCTGACCACGGCTTATACCCCACAGTCCAATGGTGTAGCAGAACGGGCAAACCGGACCATTCTGGAGACAGCTAGGGCGCTGCTCATAGAATCTGGGCTGAGCAATTCTATGTGGCCTCATGCTGTCCGGCACGCCACTGTCGCTAGGAACAGGGTGCTCACCAAGGTTGGGGATGACTCGTGGGTGCCTTTGGAGAGGTGGCTTGGGAGGAAGCCGCCGGTAGACATGCTGAGGGTGTTCGGTTGCATGGCAGTCGCCCACGTCCCCAAGACCTACCGCAGTAAGTTGGGGGCGAGTGCAATCTGGTGTGTGCATTTGGGGCTGGCTGCTGAGAGCAAGGGATGGCTGCTGTGGGAACCATCCAAGGGTGTGTTGTTTGACAGCAGGGATGTGAAATTCATTGAGGGCATGATGTATGGGAGCTGGGAGAAACAGCCGGAGGCAAGGGTGTCCCAGCAGATGGAGCAGATCACCATGCAGCTGGACCTGACTCCTAGTGTGTGGGAGGAGGGAGAGGAGGCAGCTGCTGGAAATGGTGATGGAGAGAAGGTACAGGAGGCATCTGCTGGTGGAGAAAATGGTGTGGAAACTGGCGGCAGCACTAGTGGAGCTGCTGGACCCGAGGGAGGAGAGAAGCAGCAGGGAAAAACTAAGAAGCCGAAGGGTGTCGTTATGAAGGGATGGGAGACACCCGTCTCCAGGCCAGGACGTACCCGTATGGCTACTAAGAAGCTGACTGCAGGAACTGATGCAGCAGAGCAGCAGCTAGGGACCGAAGAGGCATTGCTGATTCTACCTCATGGCTATGACCCGGATGAGGAGGATGAGCCTGCGTACTGTTTTCTTGCCCCTGCACCAGAGGAACCAGCTAGCATGGAGGAGGCATTAGCTGGACCAGATAGGGACAAGTGGCTGGCTTCTAGGGATGCTGAGTACCAGAGTCTGCTGGAGAATAGGACATGGGATCTGGTGGTGCTGCCTGATGGGAAGAAAGCGATACAATGCAAGTGGGTGCTGAGGATCAAGACCGATGACAAGGGGCAGGTCACCATCTACAAGAGTAGGCTGGTGGCGAAGGGGTTTATGCAGAAGGAGAAGCAGGACTTCAACGAGATCTTTGCTCCCACTGCCAAACCCCCTACCCTCCGTGTCTTGTTGGCAGATGCAGCTGTTAGTGGGAAATTCATCATTCAGATGGATATTTCAACAGCATTCCTGAATGGGATTTTAGAGGAGGATGTGTACATGACGCAGCCGCCTGGGTATGAGGATGGTACGGGCAGGGTGTGCAAGCTCAACAAGTCCATCTACGGCTTGAAGCAGGCGCCACGCTGCTGGTACCAGAAGTTGGCAGCTGTTTTAGAGGAGATGGGATTCAGGACCAGCAGCTGTGATGAGAGCCTCTTTCTCAAGGGCGAGGGGGAGAAGCTGGTGCTGTTTCTGGTCTATGTGGACGACATTCTTCTCTTCAGCAGCAGCATGAAGGAGATCCAGAAAGTGCAGCAGCAACTGATGGAAAACTTCAAGTGCAAGAACCTTGGGGAGGTAAAGTACTACCTCGGGATGCACGTGGAGAGGGATCCAGATCACAGGTGGTTGAAGCTGCACCAGGAGAAGTTCATCAAGGAGCTGGGGGAGAAGTATGGGATTGAGAATGAGCGCAAGGTTGCAACTCCCCTGCCAGCAGAATTCAAGCTTGTGAAGGCTGCAGAGGATGAAGGGGTTGAAGCTGAAGAGCAGCAGCAATTTCAGTCCTTGGTGGGCAGCCTCTTGTACGCAGCAGTTCACACGAGGCCCGACATCTCTTTCTCGGTTGGGCAGCTGGCTAGGGTGGTGCAGAATCTATCAGAGGAGCAGGTGGATGCAGCTGAGCGTGTGGTGAAGTACCTGAACTCTCACCCAAGCATTGGAGTTCAATACTCCGCATCTGCACAGGTGAAGCAGAAAGGGGTGGAGGTGCTGAAAGAGAAGGGGGAGAGGCTTGGAGAAGGCAAGCTATTTCTCACTTGCTTTACCGATGCTACGTGGGCTTCTGAGAAGGAGGATTCCTCATCTGTGGGAGGATACATTTGCGTAGTTGGGGGAGGACCTGTTAGTTGGAGGTCCAAGAAGCAGACGGAGACAGCACTCTCTTCCGTAGAATCAGAGTACATGGCGATGTTCCATGGGGTGAAGGAGGTGATTTGGCTGAGGAGGCTGTTAGAGGAGATTGGCCAGGAGCAGAAAGTTGCTACGCCGCTGTTTTGTGATAGCAAGGGGGCTCTTGGGATGGCCAGAAACGCTGTGCTTCATGGGCTGAACAAGCACATGCGTATCAAGTGGCACTGGCTGCGTAAGGAGGTGAAGAGGGGGACGGTGCATCCGATCTACATCAAGACTCACCAGCAGCCAGCAGACTTTCTCACCAAGAGGCTTGCGGATGAGCCTCATTGGCGTTGTGTGCGCATGAGTGGAATGAGCATGAACTAGCATGGAATGATGGGGATGCAGCCGGCAGGCTGAGGGGGAGTGTGTTGGGTGCAAATGCACATTGCACGACATCCTGCCGTCTGTTTGTACGAGTATGCGTGTGCAAATGCATTTGCGTGTGAATGGTGTGTTCGTGTGTTTGTTTGCTTTCGCAATTTTCGCTTGAAGCATTTGCAGGTACTCGCGCAATGTGCGCTTCGGCACAACATTGTACGCGCTATGAACAGTGCAAGCAGAAAGGACGAGCTCGCAAAGGAACCCAAGATGGAAGCTTTGCAGTTCGGTTGAGTTGATTGCGCAGATTCAGTTCTATCCAACTCGAAATTGTACTGTTTTGTTTGGTTAACTATAGTGTAGCAGGGAAGGCACTATAGGGGTACAATTTAGGTAAAGGTTGGATGTTGTTTGTCTGTATCTGCATGCTACAAGGCCAGGGGAAACCAGCGGAACCAGCATTTGGCTGGTTGGGCAAAGACAAAACAGGTTCTGTTTTTAGAACCTGAACCTGGTTGTTGTTTTCCCAGGTTGGAAAAACAGAACCAGAGGTTGTTTACCAACCTACCACCTGCTATTTTGTCCAGCCAGGTTGGTTCTGTTGCTTGGAATTATTTGGGATCATCCCTGGTTGTTCCCAGGTTGATTCCCAAGGTCCTTGCTAGCTAGAACTATTTAGTCCTTCTCTGTTTGTAGCTGGACATAGTCAAATTGATTCAAGCGAATTCCTTCCTCGCTGGAATTTCGTTTCTGCGCTATTCGACGGCGGAATGCTACCCGAGTCAACGCTAGTATGCTAGCACTCCAACGCTAGGCAAACGCTGTCCGAGCCATAACTTAGTAATGGCAGAACTTTTCGCGAGGCAACTTGGCTTATTTTAAAGCTCTTGGAGCGAGCTTCGATATAGCGAATTCTCAGCTTAATCCGATCGACGGTCTGCACGGCACGCTGCGCGACGTTCAAGGTACTCTTGCTGTTTTGACTAAGTCCTCCTTGATCCCTCTCTCTACAAACTCGGACCCGAGGATAGGGGCTGGTCTTGTACCAGGCACCCAGGGACCCTTGGAGGTGACCCCGAGGAGAGATTTTAAGTTTGATTAAGTCCTAATAGCTTGAGTTTATTAGGCCCTTACACCAACACACTTTTCTCTGACAGCGAGAGTGCTATTGCCATGGCCACTAATCCTATCCTGAATGGGCTGAACAAGCACATGAAGGTTAAGTGGCACTGGGTGAGGCAGATGGTGAAGGAGGGGGCTATTGAGCTTCAATATGTGAAGGCCAGCAAGCAGGCAGCTGATTTTCTTACCAAGAGACTTCCCGAGAGCGCACATTGGAAGTGTGCAAAGATGTGTGGCATGGCGTTGCACTAGCGTGTCCAGCAATGTCATGGGGGCATGTGTGTTTGTGTGTGTGATGAGTTTGCATGCGTGTGAGTGTGTGTGCATGCAGTCCGTTAGTCTGAGGGGGTGTTTGTTGTATGCACGTCAGTGTGAGTAAATGTCATCCTAACGTCCTGCTGTGTGCTCGTGCAATTCATGCTTACGTCATTTGCATGAGCATAATTTATTATGCATGGCTGTTGGATTTTATCACCTCTGTGTTTTTCTCCAAGTCTAAATGCATGATGACGCAGGAGAAATCCAGAGCTTTCCAACGATACCAAGATCACCTTATTCCGACCAAGATCGCCCAAGTTACAAGATTTCCAAGATTTGGGAATTCTATCTTAATTTGGGATATTAACTAAATTGGGCGATTATTGGGTCATGACTATAAAGGGATCTTTGGTTGGGTGGTTAGGAAGGCAACTTTGACTTTTGGATTGGGGTGGCTAGAAGTTTCTAGCATGGGTTGCAAATGTTGCAACACCTAGGCAAAATCCAATTGGATTGGATTTTGCATGTGACACATCAAGGACCTCATTATGAGGGTTGCATCTTTGATGCTAGGAAGGATCCTACTATCCTTCCCAAGCATTTGGAGAGCCTTCCCTCACAAGGTTCTCTTGAATCCCCCAACTCCTTATTCTATGCCTAATGTTTGTTCTTCCTCCATTCCATTCTAGTGAAAACAGCAGCTATACGTTTTTAGTTCGTTCTCACTGCCTGGACCATGAAATCAAGTGATTCAACTTGCAAATGGTAGCTAAGACTAGCGCGCACAATCCTACTGAGCGGATTTGCGTTTAGTTGAGAAATGAATTCGTCGTAAGTCTTCAAAGTGACCGGATCTTATGCAACAGAGGCCGATGAGGTGCAGCGGCCTTCAAGGCAGGTAGAAGTCTCTGTGTCTCAAGAGGAGATGTCTGGGGTGACTAAGGATGGGGGAGAACCTGAGGTGGAGGAGCAACAGCAGCAGCAGCAGCAGCAGCAGCAGCAGCAGCAGCAGCAGCAGCAGCAGCAGCAGCAGCAGCAGCAGCAGCAGCAGCAGCAGCAGCAGCAGCAGCAGCAGCAGCAGCAGCAGCAGCAGCAGCAACAGCAGCAGCAACCGCAGCAGCAGTAGCAGCAGCAACGTGCTCCACCACGTGCCCCACGCCCGCCTGAGCATCCTAGGAGGGACGTGCGCCCACCTGTCAGGCTGAGCTATGATCGCCGTGCCACACGGAAAATGGAGCAGGCTGGGAGTGTGGCTGAGCAGTGTGATGAGGGTGAGATAGCGTATTGCTACTGGGCAGCAGTCCCTGAGCCCAAGACGCTAGAAGAGGCACTGAGCGGGCCCGATGCTGAAAAGTGGAAGCAGAGTGTGAAGGAGGAGTACAACTCACTTTTGGAGAACGAAACGTGGGAGCTGTGTGAGCTGCCCCCTGGGAAGAAGGCCATTTCTTCAAAGCTGATTTTCAGGCATAAGTATAGACCTGATGAGGAGCTGGCCCGCTACAAGTCAAGCCTTGTGGCAAAGGGGTTTCACCAGACAAAGGGGAAGGGACTTTGATGAGGTGTTTGCACCTGTGGGGAAAGGGACAACACTGAGGGTGTTGTTGGAAACGGCTGCAAACCTTGGATGGCGGATCAAACAGATAGACATTAGAAGCGCCTTCCTCAATGGGATCATCCTGGAGGAGCTGTACATGCTGCAGCCTGAGGGGTTGGATGATGGGAGCGGCAGGGTGTGCATGCTAAAGAAGGCCATTTATGGCTGGAAGCAGGCTCCAGGTGCTTGGTACCACAAACTAGAGGAGACACTGCTGGCCGGGGGATTCAAGAAGAGTGGGTATGACCACAGCCTGTTCCTGCTGCAAGAGAAGGAGCAGTTCTTCATGGTCTTGGTGTACGTGGACGACATCCTTCTCTTCTCGGAGTCATCTGCCGTGATTGATCACGTGGAGGACTGGGATGCATGTGGAGAGGGACCTTGACAAGGGAGTGTTGAGGTTGAACCATAGGAAGTACAGTGAGGGGCTGGCGGAGAAGTATGGGCTGCAAGATGCAGGAAAGCCAGCAAGCCCACTGCTTTCAAGGTTCACTGTGGAGCCTTGTGCTGATGAGGAGGTGGTGGGTGAGAGTGACAGGAAGCTGTTTCATTCCATGGTTGGGGCACTCAACTATGCGGCTAACCACACGCGGCCTGACATTGCCTTTGCAACATATAGGCTTGCGAGTGTGGTTTCACGTCCCAGTTATCAGCAGGTGGAAGCGACCAAGTGGTTGGTCCACTATGTGAGTGCTATAGCATCTGTGGGCTTGGAATATAGTGCTGTGAGACAAAGGCTGCAGAGGGGTGCAGCTGATTTGAGCAAGGGGGAGATGCTCTTGACCTTCTACACCGACGCTAGCTTCAATTATGTGAAGGCTGATGACACAATCCAGCATTGGAGGCTATGTGTGCCTCTTTGGAGGTGGTGCAGTGAGCTGGCGCAGTAAGAAGCAGAATTAGGTGGGGCTGTCCTCATGCGAGACTAAATACATGGCCCTTCATCATGGGGCAAAGGAGGTGGTGTGGCTGAGGCGTTTGTTGGAGGAGATCGGGTTTGGACAGAAGGACCCGACACTTATCTTTTGTGATAATGAGTCAGCCGTGAAGCTTGCCAATAACGTTTGCATTTATGGGCTGACAAAGCACATCAGGCCTAAGTGGCACCGGGTGAGGAGGCTCCTAGACAAGGAGGTGCGACTGGAGGTGGTGAAGACCCAACAGCGGGCGTCTGATATTCTCACCAAGCGCCTCGTTGAATCTGAGCATTGGAAGCTTGCTGGAATGTGTGTGCATTGAGGTTACATGCATGAGCTGAGGCATGTGGGATGATGGTTGGCAGCCAGAGGGGGAGATTGTTGTGTGATGCAATCATTTACATTCGCGTCTGTCTGCCTCCCATCTTCTGTTCGCACGATGCAATGTGTGGTGTTTGCATGTGCAAGAATTTGTGTTTGGTGTGGTTTGGATTTTCTGAGTGTGTGTGAATGTTATTTTGTTTGAGCAGATATCTTAATTGATTCATCTGCTCAAGTGCTTTCTGACTAGCCAAGAATCGCCGCAATCAAAGCACTGACGAGAAAGTTATGAAAGGTTGAAGTTTGTATGCTTTTACGTTATTGTTGCGGCGACTACGGAAACTTGTGGGGTTGACTCTATATGGGGTATAGACTTTTGGGGGTTGGGAAATTCGTCACCATCACTATACATGATGCCAAGCGGTTGGGAAAAGCCAATCCAGGTTGGCAAGTGTGGCAACGTTGGAGTGAGGTGGATTTGGGAGGTTGGGAAAATGACAAGGGTGAAAGTTGGGTTCCTATAGGGAGGGAATCTTGTGAGCATATGGGGTGTTCTTGGTTGGGACTCCCTAGGGACCTTCCCTCTCGTCTTCCTCATCCCCTCCTACCTAGTTTCTAGCTACTCTAATTCATCTTTGTGGTTCTTGTGTAGATAACATTTGTGATTGAGACAAGTTACTATGGCAGCATACCTCCTAGTGCACAGAAATTCATCACTCGAGATGTACTTTACATTTTTGTCGGATTCAAATAAGGAGCTGTAGCCACGGTCAAGTGCTATAACATATCTAAAATTAGTTAAGTTTCAACAATGAACTTTTTGTCGACGACGTTTCTTGTAAAGTCGACAATTTTAAACCAACGACGTTGAGTTATTTCGGCCCCTAAACGTTCTAGACTCCGTCCTTAATCACTATCTGTAAGTAACACACTTAGTCTTAGTATCATTCACATGGGTAAATAACGCACTTACTCTTAGTACCATTCATATGGGTAAGTAATGCACCTACTCTTAGTACCATCTTCATGGGTAAATTACGCACTTACTCTCAGTACCCTCCACATGGGTAAGTAACGCACCGATTCTCGGTGCCATCCGCAAAGGTAAGTACCACACGTAATATTAGTACCAACCATATGAGTAAGTAACGCACTTACTCTTAGTACCATCCACATGGGCAAGTAATGCACTTACTCTTACTACTCTTACTCCCGGTGCTATCCATATGGGTAAGTAACGCACTTGCTCTTAGTACCATCCACATGGGTAAGTAACGCACTTGCTCTTAGTACCATCCATATGGGTAAGTAACGCACTTACTCTTAGTACCATCCGCATGAGTAAATAACGCACCTTTTCTTAGTACCATCCATATGGGTAAGTAACGCACTTACTCTTAGTACCATCCACATGGGTAAGTAACACACTTACGCTTAGTACCATCCACATGGTAATTTACGCGCTTGCCCTTAGTACCATCCACATGGGTCAATACAGCACTTACCCTTAACCATTCACATGGGAAAGTAATGCACTCACTTGTAGTACCATCCACATGGGAAAGTAATGCACTTACTCTTATTACCATCGACATGGGTAATTTACGCACCTAGTTACTCTTAGTACCATTCACATGGGTAAGTAACGCACTCGCTCCTAGTACGATCCAAATAGGTAAGTAACCCTCATATTCTTAGTACCATCCTCATGGGTAAGTAATGTTATAATTAAGGATGAATTCTGAAGATTAGAGGGCGAAATATCTCAAAAATCGTTGTACTCAGTTTCTGGACAGAACTGTTGACTTCACAAGAATCGCCGTAGACAGGGGAAAAAAACTAAAACTTGAACAGGTAGAGAATTAAAAAGTTCACAAATTTCATATATGATGTAGCTCTAGACCGTGGCTACAATTCCCAATCTGAATCGCATAAAAATGTGGAGTATTTTTTGAGTTATGAATTTCAGCGCAGTAGGGGTATGCTATAGCTTAACCTTAACTCAATCACAATTGTTAACCCAAGAACTACACAGCAGAATTAGGGTAGCTAGAAACCAAGTAGGAGGGGAAGAGGAGGACGAGAGGGAAGGTTCCATGGGAGTCCCCAATCATAACCATACAATTCCCCTCTCTATAGGCACCCCAACTTTGACATTTGTCACTTTCCCAACCCATGCCATCCACCTCACCCAACTTGGCCACACTTGCCAACCTGGTTTGGTTTCTCCCAACCACTTGGCAGCAACTACAGTGAAGTGACGAATTTCCCAACCCCCAAAAGTGTGTACCCCAAATCGAGTCATTCCACAGATTCCTGAAGTCGCCGCATCACAATCAAAACTTCAAACGATCATATCATTCTCATTCTTGCTCCGATCGATTCTTGGTTCGTCGGAACGCTCTTGAATATAGAAGTCATTTTGGATATCTGCTCAAGAAAAGTAACATCCACACACACTCACAAATTCCAAACCATGCCGAACACAAATTCTTATGCACGCAGACACCACGCATGCAACGTACGAACATAAGATGGGAGGCAGACAGACGTGAACGCAAACTCCCCCTCTGGCTACCAACCATCATCCCACATGCTGAGAATCATCATCACAGAATCATCATCACCAACCAACTCCTATGCATGCTTCGTCAATGCACACTCATCACACCAAGATTTATTCCCTTCCAATCTCATTCCATCACGCATCCCAACGAACAACCAAACATCTCCATTGTCCACAAGTCTGCAGTACCCCTCTGCAACCTTTGTCTTATGGTGTTAAGCTCCACACCCTCTCAATGTAGCCCCATAGCAGTAGGCTATCTCATCCCTATCAAAATTTTCAGCTACACTCCCAGCCGGTACCACCTTTGGTGTGCCATGATTCGGATAGGTCAGCCTGGTAGGAGGGCGCACATCCCTTCTAGGACGCACCGGCGGGTGTGAGGCACGTGCTGGAGCACCTTGTTGTTGTTGCTGCTGCTGCTGCTGCTGCTGCTCCACCTCAGGTTCTCTCCCATCCTCAGTGACCCCAGTGGTCTCCTCCTCAGAGACAGAAACCTCCACCTGCCTCGAAGGCCGCTGCACCTCGTCATCCTCAACGACCAGCGGTGTAGTAGGAAGCTTTTGCTGCAGCTTTCACTCCTTGTAGTACAAGGACTCAAGAAAATTTACATCCCTTGACACATTAAACTGCTGGCTGGTCAACTCCCATAGCAGCCAGCTCTTTTGATCATTCGCAATCCCCAAACGCACACCCCATCTCCCAGAAGCCTCCAACTTTCCCCTCTT